AATCATGAGGCGGCCTGTGTGCAGCACATTCAGCTGGAGGACATCATAAACGAGAGATTCAGTTGAGTCTCCCGTGAAAAACCAAATTGATTTGCAAATTAGTGTATTTCTCGAAAACAGTCCAATTTGGGTTCAAGTAGAACATAAGGTTTGCGGAAACTCGGGGACTGCGCCTACCTGATGAGCCCCAAGAAGGGCGAGACCGGTCGTGGGCTGTCGAAGAGTTTTCAGCAACCTTGTAAGTAGTTTCCTTTATGAAGCTATAAAGCTTATTCATTGTCCAATAACGTGATTATTTCATGAGGCAGTTACGGGGAGGAAATGTGGGTCATTGCATCGGAAAACGCTATATGCCTTCCATGGGTATGGGCCACAATTTCAACGACGCAGGAACAAGTTACTCTGGTACACGGACAACACCTCAGACAGTGAAATTCGAGACTAGTAAACAGTGTGTCCTGGACTTCGCACGACAATTGGATCACATAGCCATCATTTGTTCACAGAGTGTCGTTGTTGGTGTATGTGTTGCGAATGTAGTCTGAACTGACTGGTCACTATGTGTTTGCTGATAGTTTGGCTTCGGGGACTCCACAATGACAACAGAGACACGACCACGGATGACCTCGATTCCGGGCTCGTTCTGTGGGGTGACCACACTGGACGAGGATGTGCTGATTAACGAACAAGGCCACTTGAGAAACAGAGAACCCAAACATCGAGAAAAACAGTCCACATCTGTAAATTTAGCCAGTAACGAGGTCGTCAGACGGTTTGCTTTGTCAGAGAACACGTAGTGGGGCAAAGTCAGGTCAGCTGTGTAAACTGGGATCAGACTGGTGGTCAAATAAAAGCCGGAGGAAGATGGCGAAAACACTAGCAGAATGTCTGGTAGTCGTGTGCAAAGGCAGGAGGTACCAGCAGGCACGATTACGCGGGTGATAGTTTAGGGTGGGGGTCAAGCACAGCAGGTCCCCCATCTAGTGCACATTGAGTCGGAAATCGCGAACGAAAACGCACACAAACAGTGTAGCCAACGTAGGTTGAGAGTGGTTGCTGGACAAAGTTGTTGACTGCTTGCTAGTGGACAAAACAACGGTTCGTGAATGTCTATCAGTGGCTGGTACGGCACAAGTTCCCGTTGTGAGAACTGTATTCTTGCTGGGGACAGTTGTGTATCGGAACTGTGGATGTAAACAGTTCCACGTTCACAGGTTCTTTCCGTATCAGATGAACTGTCGTCGAAACTGAGTAGAAGATTTCGATACGAAAGATGAGGGTCAACGATCACATGCCCATTCGCTGTGAATGTTCCCCTAACAGACAGCAAGCGAATCAGAGCTAAGTTGAACGACCTAAGCACTAGACATTCCGGAAACCTGGCCTCCTCCAAAAAGTTGTAAACTAGTACTACGGTCTGCAGTTTGCCATGTCGCATTGTACACGATCCGGCAGCTGTGGTGTATTTGGGAATTCGGACCAATGCTTTGTCCGAATTTCTTCATTATGTGGCACTAAATCCTATGACAGGATGGATCGAGAACCGCTTCTTAGCCTGTATGACCAAGAAGCATGATATTTAGATGCCTAAGGAAGAGAACAACAATAGCCTTCCACCAATGAGTATGGCGGCTTTCAGGATTCGTGAGATATGCGTTGATTCTCATACAGAACGAAGGCAGCTGATGGAGTCGTACACAATGACAGTGTGGTCAAGACACCAAATGAACATGAGTCACTTGAAGCGACTTGTCTGTTTAGGGGAATTCAAAGTTTAACAGTGGTGTACGTCCCCCTCGCCCCGGAACAACTGAAGAATTGGTTTATTGTTTGAACTCAATAAAGCGGTAATGGCTGATTTCAATTGGGCCAACAGACTGGTCCTTGTTGGGCAATTGTGAAGTCACCTGCTGTTTTTACCTACCAAATTTGTGTTTTTTTACGTGATTTTACAGTCCTACACGTTTGCACCATATACGGCAGCCACAACCAAACGGTCCTTCCTACACTCTTCAAACTGACCTCTGGAACTCAATGTTTCAAACTCTTTGTTTATCGAGTTTATAAAATATTAATCGTTCAGCTGTAACACACATTCGGTGCCTAACTGCCATTCCACCCAAAGGAATCACGATGGCTGGGATACTGCCAAGTTGCCCAAACCTAGACAGGGGAGCGACAGGCACCGGTTCGAATCACGGACTTTCCGGTCAGTAAACTCGCGCACTGAGCTACGTCGCCTCTCTCGAGTTCTCAATAATCAAGTCCAGTTGAAGAAGACACTAATTTTCGGTGGCCTAGCTAACTTAGAAGTTGAAATACACTCTAGAACTTCAACGCGCTGTCCTAGTGATATGCGAAGCATTCAGTTCATACAACATGGAAACTTTCATCTCACTCTGATGGGCAGTTGCAAAACACGCCGACAGGAGACAATAAGCCCCATCGCGGGGACATCTTGAAATCGCCCAAGGATGTTCTTGCGAGAGGTAGAGTTAAACGGACAAAAATACGGTGACAAGTGAAGGGCTTCGCGATACACAAAAGAAAGTCCGACTTACCTTGCAGCCTTCACAGGTGAGTGCACCAAAGTGGAATCCGGAAGATGGGCCACCACAAACACGACAGGGGATTTGGGAAATATCACAACCTGATTCGCCTCCAGGAGCTGGATAGGGAAGCAAAATCGAGGAGCGAACCCATGGGGTTGTTAGACTCATGATATATCAAGTGTGAAAGCATTACAAGCATACTGAATTGTACAATTCAAACTCTAGAATGCCTGATGGTGAGGTATCTTTTCATTCGAACTACGTAGAGTTGAACTTCGCAATCAAATATTTACCAAATCTTCTGCTACTCTCTGTCAAAGTGACAACTGTCAATTTGTCAGCAAGGTCCAATTCCCGGAGATCATCCCATAATACTCGAAACCTACTGAGACCCTCAAACTTCGCTAAACGCCGATCCGGTAGCCTTGGATCAAGGTCGAACAGTACCCTTTATAATATAGCGCGAGGCCATTGTACTTTCACACTCGATTCCTTGGAATAAAGCCGTTATGTACCGTGTCAGTGACTCTTTTTCTGGCACCAAGGCACTGGAGCGTGGACACCAGTGAGATGTATAATAGATTGACGACGCCCAAACCCACGGAACAATGACAATAACCGCTGAAGTGTTGAAGGGAATTCTGGTGCAACAAAATCAGTGTGAAGCGGCGCAACTGCGTTTGGTGAAACCATGACGCAGCAACTTGAAAGTAAGCCACCGAATTCCGCTCCAAATACAAATTCAGTCGACTCGATCGCCAACGGCACCATGAAGTTCTGTTATGACCCTGATGCTAGTCCAATCTTCGATTCGTTGTCCAGACTTTACGTAGATATTTTCAATGTCGAACTGAAGCACAAAGATGATGCCTGGAGAGTGCGGTTACTGTACAGTAAGCTTGGTACAACGGAACACACACGGTATTCCAACTTCATCCTGCCAAAAAACACGCGAGATCTCAGTTTTTACAAAACCGTGCAGCAAATCTCAGCAGTTTTCGGTGAGCGTTTGTCGCTGTTTAATATTCGCTATCAATTTATGAAACTAGCGAAAAAGGAATCTGGATAATATATCACTTATACCGATAGAGTCAATCTTGAGTATGAAGAGTTCAAGTTACCAACCAGGACGGAAGATCAGAAAACTTATGGGACCTTTTCAACTTGACCCGCACAGAGACTATTACGTTGAATGGTCGAAAGGGAGAGGTATCAGGATGGTCGGATTCCTGAAAATTAGCCCAGAATATCGGAAACCTACTGATACTATCAAACCCCATCAAATGCCGATCAGAGAGCCTTGGATGAAGGTCAAACAGTAAGAGGCCGTTGTCCTTCTGGACTCGGTTTTTCGGAAGAAAGCTGTTGTGTTCCTTGTCGACGAGTCCTTTTCCGCCACTAAGGCACTGGCGCGGGGACAGTGATCAGATATAACACAATCGAAACGCAAGCTTGAGTGAATTTCATCCGAATGGTGTTCAGATGAGACGCGACTGCGACAGGATAATGACAGCACAACTGGCGCACGTCCTTCTAAAAATGATGGGTTTATAATTCTTCACCAGAGGAGGTAAAAAATCAACATTCGTCCAGTGTTTGCAAACTGCTTGGATGCAGCAGGGCTAATCCAAAGTTGTTCAATACAACAAGTGAATAAATGGGAATATCATTTTTCAGGAGCCTTCAGCTCTTATCCGGTAAGGTCATGTGACCATCGCGATTCACGGACAAACGGAGTGCTGCTATCTGAATCGACAGAAACACTGTATGAATACGTTCAACGCCAAAAAGGTTAGGGAGATAAATCAAACGATGTTAAATGTCCTGTAAATCGACGGAACTCTAGACTCGTAACTTCAATTCGTCCAGGTTTGCAAACTGCTTGGATGCAGCAGGGCTAATCCAAAGTTGTTCAATACAACAAGTGAATAAATGGGAATATCATTTTTCAGGAGCCTTCAGCTCTTATCCGGTAAGGTCATGTGACCATCGCGATTCACGGACAAACGGAGTGCTGCTATCTGAATCGACAGAAACACTGTATGAATACGTTCAACGCCAAAAAGGTTAGGGAGATAAATCAAACGATGTTAAATGTCCTGTAAATCGACGGAACTCTAGACTCGTAACTTCACCGGAATGCCTGGAGATAGCTTATGAATCTGGCCAGGATACTGCACGGCGATAGCCTCTGTCGGTCACTCTGACAGTCCGTTCGCTCCATACCCCTCTCTACAGTGAGCTCAAACTGTGTAACTTTGGCGTGTTATTAATGAAGAGGAAAGGCGGATTGACAGCTGGTCGAATCAACCATTTCACGCGACAAAACGAAAGCTAACGATCGAAAAAGAGAAAAGTCTGAGCCATCAAGACGCCTTGTTGAAATATCCCATCCATCTGCTCACTTGTAGCAGTGGACAACAATAGTAATTGTGCTAGTGTGTGGATGTACGAGCCGAATTCGAGAGTGCTCATCCTACACCCTCAGGTGGTTTCCAATTTAAACGAGGGTAGTAGTCATAGAAGAACAATATTTTGTGGTGACGCGACCGCGCGGTGCGTTCAGACCTTACAACAAGGAAAAACAAAGCGGACGTCTGCGGACTGTGCGGATCAACAGACCCCGATACGTGCAGTCAGACACTAGGACAACCATCGTTAGGAGCACAGAGTTAAATGGTAATGCTACAAGGAAATGTGGCGCCCCATGCTCTTCACCTCGCTTCGTGAAGTCAGTGGCCTGGCCAGTTTGCAGTCCCGAATCTAACTTAATTGAAAACCTGTGGTATGTTGTATAATGTCGAATGTGAACATTCGTCAAAAAACGTAAAATTAGTGGGGAAAACTGGGAAACGTGCTGGGAGATTGCTCATCGAGACCACTGTATGGCATTCTTCGGGGCAACCTTTACCGGATACTGACTCATACACAATCAATTGATGGGCAGATAGGACGACAACAAATCGCTCACGTGTAAGGGTCATCCCCAGATCCAGACACTTCCGGTACCGGCAGTGCGGGCATTTCCCACGCCCGGGACCTTCCACACGACATTGGCCGCCCATCGGACAGGCAGAATCAGAAAGATTGCCACCCCCGGCTTCCGCGTGACGATAGCGAGCAGCTGTATGCCGCATGAAGAATTTCTAGAGATGCGGGTAGAATGAGGGTTGAAAGTAAGACGCGTTAGTATGTGGTGGGTCGGGGAGAAGCTGGTTGATAAGTGGAATGTAAGAATTGAACAGTTGTCTGATACTAAAATCCTGAAAGTCACTCACGCAATACAAAACTCCCGTCCGGAGATGTGAGATGAACGATAGGAATTTGGTAACTCTTTGAATGATGTTCAATGCCAGGGTTGCAGCCTTGCATGAAAATCAAAAATGACTTGCGTGACGGATTGGACATGGTGGGGCTGCGCAGCCTACCTCCAGCTGAACAAACAGAATGAACAACGGTGGATGGTAACGGGGCCACGACTATCAACATCATGATGCCTGAGGAACGCCGCATGAGGGCTATTTCAAGCTATTCGCAAGAGCGTTGCGCCGTTACACAGTGACTGGAACGCGCACCGTCAGGGTACACGGTAACGGAACGCAGGGGTCGGAAAAAATGACGCTGATAGTCAGCACTTGCTGTCTATCAGAGCTAGCTACGCTAGACGTATGACCTTGAACGAAAGCTATTGATATACGTCATCTATACTCTACAATATATTACGACCAATCAGACCAGAATAGCATCTTTATTCAGAAACAGTCAAGGCAAACTGAAAAGTAAGCTTGCTATGGACACCTGAACAGTGTTGTCCCATTCGGGATGGGACGTCTTGCTTCCAAAGGGGTGTGCTTTTGTTTTGCTCAATGACCCTCCGGTTTCTATGCCTTTCGTCTCAATGGCTGAGAAGCTTCCGTGAGTCGACGGAAACAATGGTAATTTGGATGACGACTGGAGAAAGGTGGAACAAGCCGTGCTCACATTCTTCATAAAGTCTGTCCGACGTCGAACCTAAGGAACACTGAATCTCGTCACAATCAACAGCTTCGATTAAAGCCGGGGAAATGATACCAGCTAAAACGGCTAGGATGGTGAGGGCGAACCCCTCAAACGCTGAATGAAGAAGAGCCTAAGTATTGACGGGGAGCGCTGGTTGATCACAAAAGCCGCGAAATGGAAAGGCTTTCGTAACGGAGAACAATCGTATTCCTTCCGATTGCTGATCCGATTGACTGGTCTGACGAGGGCGCGTTTTAGTGGAGCTATTTCCGAAAGGGATTGCACCTCAATCTGTTCACAGAAACGTAGTCTTAGATGATTGACTAAACACTTTGAAAAATAGTTCGGATGACCCCATCAACTAAACCTCCAGAAAGAACCAATGAACCCTAGTAGGACGTTCAAATCAGTCCGCCATCGACAACATAAGTGGACGCGTATGTGTCTGTGATAATTTCTACACTGAGTTCTCCCCAGTTAGTGGTGTCGCACACGGCTGCCCTCTGTCGCCGTCTCTCTTTGACTTTGCAATTGATGTGTTTCCTGAATCGTCCTTACCTGCCTCTAACACCTTGGGGATCAAAATACTCTCGAGGAGTAAGCTGATGATATTACTGTCCACCGAATAGACCCTTTAGATACGTTAGCTATTTTAACCTAAATAGTTATACCGCACAGTTTGATATGTACTTCTCATCTGCACAGTGTAAAGTGCCCCTGCAGGATTTAATGGGATCGAAACCGAACTACACGGCTACAGACGAATCGATCGGTGCCCTAGATAAGTTCGCCTAACTAGGCAACTGAATAAGTCCCGGCGGACTGACGAAATACGATATCACTTCCCGAATACCGAAGGCCGGAGCAGCATTTGCTAGTCGCCGACATTTGTTGTGCCGACCCAACATCAGCATGATTGTCAAAAGTAGAGTGTACAAAGCTGCGGGCCGACCGCCGTACTTTAAGGATCGAAGAAATGACCACACAGTGTGGAAGACCTTTGAAGGCTCTCTATGTTCAGCCATTGGTGCCTCCGAAGCAAATCACGGGTATGGTGGAAACATCACAGCAGTAATGCTGAAGTACGTCCACTATTCCTCGATAGATCGGTTGATCACATTCCACAGGTTACGCTACTTACGTCATGCGTGTGCCGGAGGACCGTTTGCCTCGTCCATTTATCTTCACCCAGCCTTGTACCCGATGAAGACGACCCAGAAACGGTCGGCCTATGCGTCGGAACTAAGCATGAAAGCCTTTATCAATCAACCCAGTCGCACTGGTAACTGCTATCTCCCCGAGGCGGGATAAACCAATGGTTTTTGACCTTGACAGATATGGCTGTCACACAGCTAATAACGGTCTTACACCAAACCTATCGTCTTCTCCACGTAGCTCTCTGTATACTGGACAAACAGATATAGCTGCCATCAATAAAAGGATCGGGCCATCGCCTCTAACGTATGGCTCTCATTCCCTTAATCTCCTCGTTCTCGGTGAACGAGGCTTCAGCAGCTGAAACCACTTCGGTGCACGGTTCGTGCGCCGAAAACTGAACTGGGTGTTAAACTCCATGCAAGCTATAAAATTGTGTGATTCAACGAACACATCTACAAGAAAATGTAAAAAATGACGCTTCCTAGCGCACAATTCCAGCCTTTGAGAACGGTATCGGCGAACGATTTGAACACTTGTTTTTAAAAAAACACAGGTCAGCTTGATTATATTGGTAGCAGTCTTTAAAAAAATAGAGGACAACAAAATTTCCATTGCAGGAATAAGAAATACGACATTTAACTTCGTACGCTACGTCTGATTTTGGCCAAGCAAGCACACACGCATACAAGAGTTGACGTAACAGACGTGTGGCGGCTCTGAGGAACAGACGGAATAGTGCACAAGCGCTCATAAACCACACTGCGTTGCTGTCTGGCTGCGATTAGTGGGGAAAGGTGATATATATGACTGTGTCATTGCTAGTGGGATGGATGCGAGTCCTAAAGAGGACATAAAGGCGAATTCGGGACAAGTGTGCATGCGCGTGGCAACACAACGGATAAGTTGAATGCATAAAGTAATTTCGTGAGACAACTGAGCGTTTGTCCGGATACGATGAGTGCAATGGGCAAGAGGGTATTACGTATCTGGTAACCTGGTGCTCAGTCATCAATCCTAGCAGAGAAAACGACAAGTCATTTTTTGTGAAAACTTCGATTGTGAAAACGATCGTAAAGCGAACGATAACCATGCGACTTGAGCGCAGATGGGTCACAAGCGATCCGGAGATAGCAAATGGTACCCGAGAACCTGCGGTCACAATAAGACAACCGTTCTGCTGTAGCACCCTTTCGGTGCCTGGCTGCCATGCTCCCCGAAGGAAGTATGAGTGCTGAAATACCACCAAGTTACCCGAGATATCGCGTTAGGCTCCAACTACAGACCTTCCAGTTCCAGCCTTCACCATTTAGCCGTCTCGAACCAACAGTACCAACAGAACCAACAGTTCACGACACTGTTACGGCGATAACCAAAACCGCAGTACATCCAAAACAACACAAACTAATCGCATACTGGCGGTCGACCAGATGGCCATTGATCTGTTCGCCGAGCTTGCCAATCAGCTTGCAAACGTTGCGTCCTCAGTCAAATAGAGACCGTGCGCTGTTGAGTGATTTGAAGGATGTTTTCTTGTATCCGTTCATTCAACCGAAACGCTCGCATGGGATTGATTCGACGAGAATTTTATGGCTAAATCTCTTGCCCTGTTTCAGCTGTAACCCCCTTTCGGTGCCTACCTGCCATGTCACCCAAAGGAAACACTAGGGCTGAGGTACTGTCAGACTGCCCACGGCTAGACAGAAGCAGTCAAGGTGAAGTCGTTCGGTTCGAATCACGGACCTACCGGTTAGTAAGTTCGCGCCTTAATCACTGAACCATCCCAAGTAATGACTGACATGGAAATCCTTCACACCAAAGCACCAATACGGAGTACCGGATGTGCACGATTTTCGCTAGTGAACGAGTTATCGGCCCACTCACAAATGACGTCAGAATGGAACACACCTTCAACCGGAGAGCCAGCTGACTTGAAAATAGAACATTCTTACAGCCAGCTTTCATGGTGCGACGGGGTGCCCGTCTGGTCTGCTCGCTTTGTTATTGATAGCTTTCAAACATACCCTTTGATGTGTACAATTAGCGGAGCGTGCAGTTCCGTAGTTTCGGCGTGCCTGACCACGTTATTGCAGTCGCGATCGGAACTGTACCCAGATCACCTGTCAACCATACTGGGATCATTCAGCGTGATCAGTGTACGCTTTCTGCGTCAAGGAGGCACGGGAGAACAGCGGTGCAGTTTGCAGATGTATGCAATACGAGCTCCATGTGCACACCAGGCCTCAGCAGCCAAACCGTCAGTTTTAGGAGAACGAGCATTCAAGAGCATAGATGGAACGAAGTGATAGAAAAGGATGATATCTAGTCGGCAGGGAGAGTTCTTGGCACCAGAAGCTTAGGGTCAACAAAAAACATGCGCGTCATAACCGATATCAGATGAGAAACGAAACAGCCAGCACCACTCCAGCTGCCATTTTTGAACCAAGACCCATGAAGAGCATTCTGAAGATATAAGTTTACTATTATGTCTATCTTTAACACTAGAATGACGAAGAACAAATTACGATAGACGCCGCAAGTCATCATTTCAATGAAAAGTGTTTCATCTCCAAAAGCATGCATGCTCGATCTACTGTTATGTCCATCTTTAACGCTAGAAAGACGAAGAACAACTTACGATTGACGCCGCAAGTCATCGCTTCAATGAAAAGTGCTTCATCTTCAAAAGCATGCATGTTCGAACACGGGCATCGGGAATACACCTTTTCCTTAGAACAAGTGCTTGACGCTATAATCCTAGATTACTTTACACAGTTCCGAGTACAGCAGATGTGCGAACACAAGGATACTTGGTGGTATTCATTGTAGAGGCAGAAGAAAACCTTGTGATTCCGGCTCAGTCGACCCGTTAAAACCCGGTCAGGAAACGTTCCGCTTGGAAAACACATTATCTCGATGTATTTGTCCACCCCATCTTAGCAATGAGCACTAAACTTACCATAAACTTTTCAAGCTTGAGGACCGTCCGAACAAAAGGCTCGTTGGGGAACACTAACAAAATTTCGCCCTAATTTACAGAAAGGTGACCTTGCAGCTCAGAAAAATCGCAGCTTCTTCATCGTAATTTTGAAAAACCTCATTCTCCTCTGTGCTGTTAATCAATGGCGTGACCACCACATGTCCTCTAGGAACGAGCCTGGAAGACATTCTCACACACACCGAGTTCCACTCGCAGTTGGCAGTTGGATGACATTTTGTAGGCCGAAAACTTGGCTATGATTCTTGACTCAGTGTACCCGCCAGCGAATATGAGGCCGACAACCAGCTCTAAGTTCTATGCATTTGGATCGAGAGAAACTCAGATGAGGCTATTTCCCGACCTGCCCATCGAAAATCCATCTTACTTTCGGAAGTTTTTGTCCAGTGCAATAGAAATGGCTCTTTTTCATACCTTGCATCAAAGGGCAGGGTAAATTCACACCCAAGACGAACTGCATCAGGAACTCTAGCCGATTGCCTAAATACTCCCAGTGTTCCAACGACCATTGGGATAGTTTAACTGAGAACCACTCTTCTGCTAGCAACAGAGAAAAAACTTCTCAGGTGTAGCACCCTTTCGGTACCTAGCTGTCACACCACTAGAAGGATGAACGGGGACTGAGATACTGTCAGGTTGCCCAAGCCTAGATGCAAAGGTCGGGTTCGAACCAGGATCTTCCGATAAGTAAATTCGCGCTCTAACCACTGAGCTATTCCACCCATCCTCCAAGTAAAAAAGTAAATTTTTAATTACATCAGGGTCTGAAAGCCCCTTAACGGTTAAGCAAGATGTGTGAAAATGTTACACGCTTGTGGATCACAGCAGATACGAAGATGATACAACTGCCGCTCATCAACTCGACAAGGCTAAATTTATAGTTTTATTAGATCTACCGGTTCACTTGCAGCTGCGGCAAACTGCATATCGGTTGGGAATGTGAGGAGAAGAGCATTTACGGAATCGTTTCTTAACCCTGCCATCTGATCCAAATCAGGCTTACTGCGTTCCACAACCAAGGACCGTGCAACTGTAAGTCTCCAAATAGCCAATCGATCAGCGGATTTTTTCTCGCAAGCAAAACAGGATGATGTGACGGGAATCGGCACTGAATGTGTGCTTGGAAGTGAAACGCGGTCGAAGAGCAGAAAAAACGATTTGCGCACTATTGACATGCTAGACGTCTGGGAATATTTTTTCAGCAAAATGACGCAAGTTAGAGCGACGAGGGCTGGACAGTTGACTGAAGCGAAAGGTTATTTGCTGCACGTGACCCAATTCGTAGACAAGCATGTGCCATGTGCTGTGACCAGATTCGCTGGTAGAATAGGTGGACAAGCAGCAGGGAAAAGCAGTTTGGATTCTGTTACGGTCGATGCGACACTCGTTTTCAACATTTGTGTTTAGGTAGCTTTGTCTGTGCGACTGTAAGAAAGACGTGATATACAAGACAACGGAACAATCCGGAATATTGAGGTAGTATTGGCCTTGGAATCTACGACGTTATCCAAAGGTTACCAGTTCCATCTGTATGGCACTATACATTGCCATTTGTCAGTGAAACGAGTTTCTCCCGATCAGCCTCTTCACATTTTATAGATTGCTCGTAGTAAATCAATCATAACAACTTCAGGCGATGGACACCTCAAGATATCGTCCGCAGGAGTGCAACTGCCAACTACAGAGGTTGAGTTGCTTTTCAATAAACACAAATATGGATCAACGTAGCAATCGTACTTCGATACTGTGCTGAATCTTTTCTACATCTATATGTACACTGGAGTCGTTGCCCCATGGATCCAAACAATTGGACGGCGCGTACGGACTCGCGGCCCTTTAGCGTCGTCGTAAACGCCGATAGATGTTGGTGAAACTCACTCATTAGCAAACCAATTTGCGAGAGACTTACCTGGGACCCAGCTGAATCTCTTGTTTATGAAAGAGGCTTCATGATTAGATTACAAATTTCCCCCTCAGACTACCAATACTGAGGCAATCGCAAACGGGAACGAAGTCCTCTAGGATCAATCAAACAATATTGCACTTTTATGGAGCCGAAAGGAATAGCAGAAGTAATGATTCAATCTAGTATGTTGTGTTTGAAGAGCAGAACAGCAAACAATGAGTATAACGTCTGCACATCGCAAGCAAGTGTCTGGATGGTTGTACGCTTTTGTTCATCTCAGTGTTATCTATGACTGTTATTCACGGCCATTTTGAATAGGAATGAAGATGGTGGGAGTTCTTATTAGACAACGCTTGAAGCCTCGCAGCTTCAGGAAAGTTTATCGTAGATCACTCAAAATACGGTAGGCTGTTTCCGGCACTTCATTCCAAAGGAGAGAACCCTACGTCGAATCCAGAAAAACCTGGAGGACCGTAGATCTAACCGATGGCGTATGGTCAATGAAAACTCCCACATGTGGAATCTGTGCCCGATAATCACGGACGAGCTATCCGTGAGACAATTGGGACAATAGTTGAAGAATAACTCCTAAGAACCGCTCGGAAAGAACGGTTAGAAAACCTACTTCCCGAAAATTACATCATTCACCAAGTGGAACCTTCCTGCAAATCGAAACTGAGTAATCGAACTCCAGTCGAGTAGAATGCCATCGGCCCAGCAAGTATTCCTTACAGTGATGCCAACCCAAGTAACAGAAAGGGCCAATTGACTAGGAATAAATTGGAAGGTGGCTCTTCCCAGCAATATCGCTTTGAACAGTTTTGGATACTGAACTATTCTGACGATCGAGAGTTTCTGTTTACTACTCAGTAGGAATGCCCCGGAAGTTTGTAAACATAATACGTTCTTTGTATTCTCAGACTTCCGGACGTGTGAGAGTGTACGGAGAGCTCTCCAAAAGCTTCCGCACACAAAGCGGTGTCCGTCAGGGATGCCCACTCTCTCCATTCCTTTTTAACTTTGTGATCGATGAAATAATGAGACGAAAGCTGGAGGGTCTCCAAAACCCTGGTGTTCAAATAGCCAATGAAGAAAACCTTGTCGATCTGGAATAAGCAGACGACATCGTTCTCATGTTCGAAGAGACGGAGAAGGCGCAAGTATTCTTGGATGAACTGACCAAAGTCATCCCATCCTTTGGTATGCATTTTGCACCCACAAAGTGTAAGGTCATGCTTGTAGACGTACAGTCACTGAACACGCCCCTTACAATCCAGGGAGAGGCACTGGAAGTTGTGGAGCGTTTTACGTACCTTGGAAGTTGTATTAGTTCTGATTGCAGTGTGACAGATGACGTGAATGCACGAATCTGCAAGGCTCGGGCCGCGTTCGCTAAC